TCCGAAACCCACAGAAAAAGCTCACAACACATATTTACGTTTTAGTTTGGCTATTAGCTCTAGTGGCAGAACAAGTCAGGTAATGTAGTTTAAAGAGCAACAAAGGCTTGATAAGGGGTGGATGGATGAGTGAATCAAATTAAGAACCCTCACTCTGGAGACTGAAACTTAAGTCCTGTATGAGAGAAAGTTAAATAGCTTTTTGACTTCAGTCACGTGACTTATTACTTATTTTAAACCAAACAGATATTTTTCTAATCCTAACCAAGTGGTTCTGTAGCCTAAACTTAACCAAACCATGACCGTTTCACAACATTTACCACGTGTTAAACGTCACATGACTTAGGGTCAAATGACTTATTGAAAGTCCAGTACGCCTGTCGCTGGATTTGCCAACACTCTCAGATGTCATGATGGGGAACATATGGGGTCATATATGTCGCTTTCCTATGGATATATGTGTTTTGGGACACTTGAAAATCAACCTGTTTTGTTACTGTTTGTGTATAAGGATGTGTTACTTTGTAGCTGCCTAATTTAGCTTTAACAGGGAAATCTAATAAATGAATGTACTGAGGTGTGAGGGGCTCTGAGGACCAGTTACAGGCCAGCTGGACATCAGTGGTTGGACTGGTGTGAAGGTCTACCTCAGTGAAGAGCAGACGACCTCTGGCTCTGCTGGAAACTCTGAACACACAACAACCAACATGAAACCGTTGGAGACAAAGAAACTCCATCACCAGACAACAACTCTGCTTCATACCAATGACCACAAGCCTACCAGCCCCTCCCCCCTTACTCAGATGTCTCCTTCAACAGGCTTAAAGCCCCCCCTCCAGTGGATTTTGACATTCCCTTACAATATTAATTAGTCATTCCCTTACAATATTAATTACCCACATAGTTTGGCAAATATTTTTTGACAAATAGCTTAATTTTGTGCTCCAATTTGCAAAAATTGCTTACTTGTTAAAATGGGGCTGTGACTGTAGTAATTCCGTAAGTCATACATCATGTCTCGTTAAAAACTGTCACGCCGTCATGCCTCGTAAAGTCAGAGCATCAAACCACTAAAAGGTTGTGAGCTAGCTAACCAATTTATCGTGTAATTTAATTAGAACTTACAGTAGGTATGTCTCTGTGTGTCTGATGGTCGGCATGCATTTTACTGTAGGCCGTTTCACTGATGCATTGGCGGAGGAAATGGTATCAGAAGAATGAAGCTGAGGAGTGTGACATCCCCATCTTTCAGCTGCTGGGATGTCTGTCTCTTTGTGTCCTGTGTTGCAGATGTCAGGAGGCGTCGTTAAAGTCATCAGCTGTTGGAACCACCTGGGCCCGGTGGTCTCCACTATAAGAGCGCGTCTTTTGTTCTGCAATGGGGGCTAGAGAGGAGGGATACCCTGTTCCCTATGCTCCATGCTCCTTGTTATTTTGTTACTTTTACCATACAACACTTGACACACTATTCTTTCAAGCATGCATACCCGCTGACATGACTACTATGATCTACTGATTATCAAACCTCACATGACTTTTGGAATATTAAGTTGTCTCTGTTTAGTTTGAAATAAAAGTAATGGTACCTTTTCTGTAGTTTGTGTCATTGCTCTGTTCTTTTTTGTTGCGGTTTTGAGCCACCCGTGACAGGAGCGACGCAATTAGTGTTGCTGAAACAAAAAGTTGTGCACTGTGAAATGTTGTTACGGCCGCCACTGGCTGCCTTAGAGTAGTTGTGTTTTGGAGTTCTCTGAGCTTTATGCAAATCCCCGCTGCAAGCACCTGCTGAGGATTGGTTCCCCTGGACCTGGAACCACCCACTTCCTGGTTGCTGTTTGCTGGCGTCTGATTGGTGTGGCCGAAGAGCCTACCGAACCTGCCAACCAGGACTCACCAATCAACACCAGCTGGCCTACAAATAGTCTGTGTTCCTGCAGTTCGAGGCGACTGTGAGCCAGTGATCAGTTCGCCTTGTTGGTTGTGTACCCCTGTGAATGTCTTGAGTGTTAAATTTATCTGTTTCTGTCGGTTGCCGGCTTAAGTGACTCTTGTCAGTAAAAACCTTTGTGAACTACAGAATGTGAGTGGCACCCTTTAAGGGGGAAAATTGTTTGGTTGGTTACACTACATTCCTGTACAGCATGTAGGTACTGACCTCCTTTTGTTAAGTGTTTTTTTTGTAAGTACCTACATAGCCTCCTTTTGTTGTGTTTTTTTCGGAGACAACTCATTTAATTAAACTTTGACTCAACCTGAATTCAGTTGTCCTTACCACCTTAATTTAACCCAAATACCTTGTTACTGCCCTAACCTAACGAGCTGGGTTGTAACAAATGTTTAAAATGATTTATTCACACTAGCAAACTAACGTTAGTTGACGAAGTAAAAACGTTTATTAATTAACATGGCGTGTTCTCTGTATGTGAGTGCGTATTACATCCTGATAATTCAATAATTTCAATTCGTGAGGCAGCTTTGAATCCAGCCATGGGCTTCTGTGTGTGGAGTTTGCATGTTCTACCTGTGTTCATGTGTGTTTCAGTGTATAATGTGATATTTCTAAATGTGTACTGAGTTTTGTAGATGTGTAAGATAATTTGTGTTATAAGAGGAGCACTCATGGCTTTTGGCCAAGCAAGAGGCAAAGAAGTGACAAGAGCAGCTGCACAATCATAGGTCATAGCTACTCCGATGATGAAAACTTATATACTGTATCAACTTTTGTTAAAATGTTCAATAATAAACATTAGCACCACAAGTGTGGCTTCTCTGCTTGTTTGTTTCAACTAGCAGCTCATTAATATGCGGGTCCTGAGCACTGAAACTTAAGAAAAATTATACATACATATTATTAAACCCATCTCAGACTGAACATCAGCGGAGACAGAACAGTATAAGCTTTGAAAAGGTCGATCTTATGGTAGGGCTGGTGGTTGTTCTGTTTGGCTTATGTTATAATTACATTTACCATACACTTTACAAAAAGGAAGGACCTGAACCTATGGAGGCCAGCCATTATTAAACATCTGTACTCGACTGCAGCTTCTTCCACTCTAATGGAGATGTGATGGTGAACCACCTTCAGAACATCCATGAACACAGCACGCTGGAACCAGTGACGACATACCTAATACGGTTTGTGGTTAAAAATGATTAGTGGCCCAGTCTTCAGTGGTGCTGGTTGGTGCCTGGTTTAATTTGATTTGTGGGGGTAAATTTCCCAGATTGTGCAAAGAAGAATTTTATAAATGGAAATGCATCAACATTTGTACTGAAGTAAATCACAGCTAAATCCGTAAAGATTCTGTTTTGAAACAGCCATTTTAGAGATTAAGAGTAAAAACACATGAACAAGACATTTTACAAATTACAAAAAATATTACTAGCTTCATGAAGATATCATTTATTCCAGGGCTGTTTTACTGGACTGCAAAAGTTTTAGCTCGGTGTATCTTATCAACAGAAACTAGCATTTAATGTATATGGATATTCTTACGCAAACAAAAGCTAATGCCACTTTTTAGTCACAAGGTATCAGCGTTGGCTCACAATACAAGAATATTTGTCTTTACTTCTGGGTTTTTTCACATATGTTCTTGTGAACTTCATGATCTGCCTTTTCCACAGGTTTCTCTCGGTGGTTCTGCATTTCAACCACGATGGAAGCTGAGAGGTTGCTGTGATGGGTGTTATATTTTATAAACATGTTTTTCCTTTCCCCAGCATACACATCAACCCTCATGGAGTCAACTGCACCTGCCCCGCTTAGCAGATCGGCCTAAAGATCCTCATGGATGGATGAGGCAGTCAGCCTTTATCGGTTAACAGTTTAGTACAGGACGTAAACCTAAATGCTAAAGGCATATGATGAATAAAATGAAATATTCTTAAGTTATTGATCTTTCCTCCACTCATGTTTTTTTAAGATAAATGTCATGGTCCGCATTGGCACCCATTCATATTTTTATCTCCACTGGAATAAAATAGAGGCTCTGCTCTTTTTTTTTTTTTTTTTTTACCCGTTGCCATAGTAAATAGTAGTATTGGAACTTCATTTTTGACGGGGTTTTTTCATCCCCTTGCATGTGCTTCCATCAGGTCCAACATACTCTAAGTCGACTGAACTTATTCTGATTGGCTGTTCTGGAACCGAAAACTGGAGTTTCCCATCTCAGGCTCAGTCAACTCAGGTCTCAGGGTAAAGCTCAGAGTGTATTAAGCCATTATCCATCACCATCTACAGTGACCTCATGAGAAGAGGAGCATTTACAGTGTAATTAAAGCCTAAAAATGCTGCTTGTGGTATGTTTGAACAACAAGCAGCATTTTCTCTGTGAATCTGCCCATCTTTAACTTCTGACTGCTGGACTCGCAGCTCAAACCCACAGAACTTTCTAGTTGTGGTAGAGTTTCCAAATATTACAGGATGTAAATGTTTTTTTATATTTGAAGGACTAGTGGAACCACAAAGAACAGAGTACACTGTAAGACATTGGAGTTTTCAAAATTTCTGAACTTGACAGGAAATTTTAGGGGGTCAACAAAGAAATACAATTAAAATCCCCGGCTGTAATTTGTTGACCCACCTAGGTTTGAGTTATTGCTTTTTATTTATTATTATAATCATTGAAATGGTACTGTGTTTACACAGTTCACATATGTTGAGAAAACTGTTAACAGCATCAACCAACAAACACAAACCAAAGACTTAACTCAATATACTACAAAAAGGTAATTAGGACAGGATCAGACAGCGCTGCTGGATCAGGTCATTATAATCAAGAAAGAGCTTATTATGTGGCTTCACTTCCTCTCTCTGCTCTCAGGGATTTCAGCTCCTGCTGGGTGATCGACTGATCTCCTGATGAGGATGTTGTGTTCTCGCTATCATCCGCTATCATCCCCGAACACTAGGGCGATGACGACACACACTTGCATCGCCTTTCGCACCTTGTCTGCTTTTCCCATCGTGCACTGCTTCAGGAAGCTGGAGATACGGATGGGGCAAAACAGCAGCATGGCCATTGGGATGATGAACTTAAGCACCGTCAGGATCAGGTTGAACTGGTAGTAAACTACCTGGAATGAGGGGACAGGATGATGAGTAATTTTACAGAATTTAGAGCAAAAATATGTCAAAGACCTACTGTCAGTGGTGCTTCGTTTATAGCTTCTGTACCACCAACCTTTGCCAGACAATGGATATTCTCTTTCATGGATATTTAAATAAGCTTTTTAACTACTACATCAACTAATGTACTGGATTTAATTTGATCACTTTGTAATTGTTACACTGTGAAAAAGAAATATTTTAGTCTCTTAAGATCTTTATTTAGTCACACTTTAAGAGGTGACATGCACTGAGATATGCTGTGCATTAACACACCTGCACTAAACTTTCACCCATTAAACAGAATTAGTTCGTGAATGTTGTCTGTAAAGGTTCTCAGTCATCCAGTTCATAGTTATCCAACAACGGTTGAGGTCAAGGGAGAAACATCTTCTAATTTTTCTTCACCAAGTCCAGATGCCCTTGACCCTCAACCTTTGTTGGATGGTTAGTGAATGTTCATTGTTGGACCTTGGAATTAATGATTTGATGAAAAACTCACGTTTTTTGTTTTTTTTTTTAAAAAGCTGTTCTGTTCCAAATGTGTTCATTTTTAGTTACTTTAATTTGAATGTTATTCTTCACTATTATAGAAAAGTGGATATTGTTACAATATTTTCTTTTTACACTGGATTAGGTTTGGCCAAGTTTCCATTCGTAACTGGACATTTCAACTGTTGAGTTTTAGCTAACTATTTCAGCTGTTTTTCCAGTACTTTCAGGTTACTATTTCAGCCGTTTCCCCTGTACTTTTAGGTTACAATTTCCACTTCTCTGCTTTTTTGCTGACTCGATTTTACACACTCAATGGCAACAACTGACAATCAGGTACAGTTGACTCAGGAGAGAGGTGTATATTGTGCAGTCAGCTCTTTGTAGCTTGTAATTTACTGGTGTTTGTCACAAAGTTACTAAAATTTGCATCACACCATTTTTTAATCAAATAGAAAACTATAACTCAAAACTACTAAAAAGCCAATCAATATATTGTGTATAAAGTTTTGGTATGAAATTGTAATATGGAGGGTCTGTGTGTGAACATGGTCAAAGTGAACAAAACATAATACAAAGTGTACTAATTTTCTCACCTTGAAGTAGTGGTAAATTGCCACCACAGTCATGAGTGCGATGCTGGCCGAGCAGTTGGAAAACATTACGAGGATCCGGCACATGCCATCTCCAAACACCCAGTGGCCCCTGAGCAAGGCATCGATCCTCAGTGGCAGACTCACCAGAGCCAGGAAGTCAGCAATGACCAGGTTGAAGAGGAACAAGTTGTTGGGATTCCAGGCCTTCAGTTTAAAGCAGAAGATCCACAGGGCAACTATGTTAAATTCTAAATTTAAATTTTTTTATAACCAAAATAAATTAATCAAATTTTGGGAAGACACTAAATATGAGATTATTTTAAGATGCTGCTATTAAAAGTTGTGGGTTTGGTGGGTGAATAAGTATGAAAATCTGTATGCCCACACCAAGGAATGTTTTGAGATTTAGGAAATCCTCCTTTCACCTTCTTCCTTTTTTTCTGAAGAATGAAATCTGTGTAAAAACACAAAACAGAGCAGTTTCACTCCAAAGGTCAGATAATAAAGCATTCTGTGCAAAACACGTGGCGAGAACTTGATTCAGGCTGCGGACAGTTCACACTGGAGTCTGATATGGGCCACATTTAAGCAATTATATGAACTGTCAAAAAAGAGGGGAACTGGGAAAAAATTGGAATTGAGCATTAAGGCCTGCAGTCTGAACGTAGCCTTACATTAGCTGCTAACTTTAGCAATAATAAACACTAACATTAAGAAACGGTGTCACACCATCCAATGAAGCTCTCAATTAGGTCTCTGTACTCCTCCTCGCTGTCATTAGTGATACAGCAGACGAAGGAATCATCTGAAAACTTCTGGAGGTGGCTCATTTCAGAGTTGAAGCAAAAGTCATAAGTGTAGACTGAAGAGAAACGGTAACATTTCAGTTCCTTGGGATGTGCCAGTGTTGCTCACCACAAAGCCTGACAGGCAGCCATGCATCCATGCATCCTGACATACTGCGGCCTGTAATCCAGGCCACCAGGTCCTGATCCACCTGCATCACAGAGCTTCTCAGCCAGCCAGAGAGGCTGGACGGTGACAAAAGCACTGGATAAGTAGAAGAACATGATCCTCACATTGATGTGTGGCTTCTCCAGGTGAGTGTCGGGCACTGTAAAGTAGGGAGATGATGGCATCGTCCACCCTGCAGAGGGTCCAGGCAGTTGCGTACCAGGGGCCTGAGGTGCTGCAGAACCAGTCTCTCGAAAATCTCGATTAAAGGTGATGTTAGTGCCACAGGCCTGAAGTTTGAGAGGTGGCTGGAACATCCCTTTTTGGGGACAGGGTCTCATCTAGCTGGTTATGATGACTGTGGTGGACGGGAGGGGGGAGTGGAGGTGAGAGGGGGGCGGCAGAAGGGGTGTGGAGGGAAGAGACAGTGTGAGGAAGGGGGTCCAGCCTCCTGCTGGCCTGTTCATGCCTGTGATACTGTCCTCACAGAACCTGATGTGGTTAGTGTTAATTTTCCAGCAAATATGTAAAAAAAAAATAAAGAAAATACACCATTTGGCTAACATGTAAAATATGAGTACCATTAGCTGTTGTATTTAGCCATTAAAAAGACTGGCACTGTGCTAGGATGTAAAATATCAGGAACATTAGCTGCTTACTTTACGCATAAGAAAGGCTAACATTCAGCTAAAATGTAAAAAAATCACAAACATTAGCTGCTAACTTTAGTGATCATAAAGACCAACATTCATCTAACAAGTAAAATATCAGTAACATTAGCAGGTAACTTCAGCAATCGCAGACTAGCATTGTGTTAAATAAAACATGAGTAACATTAGCTGCTAACATTAATCATGAAAAAGGCTGAGATTAGGCTAACATTTAAAATATCACAAATATTAGCTGCTAAATTTAGCAATCAAAGACTAGCATGGTGCTAACATATAAAATATCAGTAATATTAGCCGCTATGTTTAGTAATCAAAAAGACTGGCATCGTGCCAAGTTGTCAAATATAAGTAACATCAGCTGCTAACACTAGTTATAAAAAAGGCTTACATTAGGCTAGTATGTCAAATATCAGCAACATTAGCTGTTAACTTCAGTCATAAGAAAGGCTAACATTCAGCTAAAATGTCAAAAAAAAAAATCACAAACATTAGCTTCTAACTTTAGCGATCATAAATACTAGCATTGTACCAACATGTAAAATATCAGTAACATTAGCAATTACCATTGGCAAGTAACTTCAGCGATCACATAGACTAGCATTGTGCCAACAAATAAAATATGAGTTACATTAGCTGCTACGTTTGGTAATCATAAAGACTGGCATTGTGCCAACATAAAATATCAGTAACATTAGCTGCTAAGTTTAGTAATCAAAAAAGACTAGTATTGTGCCAAGATGTCAAATATCAGCAACATTAGCTGCTATGTTTAGTAATCCAGAAGACTAGCATTGTGCTAACATAAAATATCAGTAACATTAGCTGCTAAGTTTAGTAATCAAAAAAGACTAGTATTGTGCCAAGATGTCAAATATCAGCAACATTAGCTGCTATGTTTAGTAATCCAGAAGACTAGCATTGTGCTAACATAAAATATCAGTAACATTAGCTGCTAACTTCAGTCATGAGAAAGGCTAACATTTAGCTAAAACGTAAAAAATCACAAACATTAGCTTCTAACTTTAGCGATCATAAATACTAGCATTGTACCAACATGTAAAATATCAGTAACATTAGCAATTACCATTGGCAAGTAACTTCAGCGATCACATAGACTAGCATTGTGCCAACAAATAAAATATGAGTTACATTAGCTGCTACGTTTGGTAATCATAAAGACTGGCATTGTGCCAACATAAAATATCAGTAACATTAGCTGCTAAGTTTAGTAATCAAAAAAGACTAGTATTGTGCCAAGATGTCAAATATCAGCAACATTAGCTGCTATGTTTAGTAATCCAGAAGACTAGCATTGTGCTAACATAAAATATCAGTAACATTAGCTGCTAAGTTTAGTAATCAAAAAGACTAGTATTGTGCCAAGATGTCAAATATCAGCAACATTAGCTGCTATGTTTAGTAATCCAGAAGACTAGCATTGTGCTAACATAAAATATCAGTAACATTAGCTGCTAAGTTTAGTAATCAAAAAAGACTAGTATTGTGCCAAGATGTCAAATATCAGCAACATTAGCTGCTATGTTTAGTAATCCAGAAGACTAGCATTGTGCTAACATAAAATATCAGTAACATTAGCTGCTAACTTCAGTCATGAGAAAGGCTAACATTTAGCTAAAACGTAAAAAATCACAAACATTAGCTTCTAAATTTAGCGAACATAAATACTTGCATTGTGCTAACATGTAAAATATCAGTAACATTAGCTGCTAACTTTAGCGATCATAAATACTAGCATTGTGGTAACATGTAAATATTAGCGACATTAGCGACTAAATTTAGTCATGAAAAAGGCTGACATTAATAAATAAGATATCAGTAACATTAGCTGCTAACTTTAATCATCCTAAAGACCAATGCATCATTCACGTGCTCCTGGGATCCCATTTCCCGAGTTGTGAATTTCGTTCTTCCGAAGTTGGTGTCTTCATGTGCTTTTAAGTCTGAATTTGGAAACAACATGTATGGTAATGAAAAGATATGGTGGATTGTCATTATCATCTGAAAGAGTCTGAGAGACTAGCATTGTACTAACATAAAATATCAGGAACATTAGCTGCTAACTTCAATCATAAAAAAGGCTAAAATGTAAAAAAAGATCACAAACATTAGCTTCTTAATTTAGCGATCATAAATACTAGCATTGTGCCAACATGTAAAATATCAGTAACATTTGCAATTACCATTGGCAAATAACTTCAGCGATCACGTAGACTAGCATTGTGCCAACAAATAAAATGAGTTTCATTAGCTACTACGTTTAGTAATCAAAAAGACTGACATTGTGCCAAGATGTCAAATATCCGTAACATTAGCTGCTGAATTTACTGACCATAAAGACTAGCATTGTGCAACAAATAAAATGAGCAAAATTAGCAGCTAACTTTTGTCTTTAAGACTAATGCAGTATTCACGTGCCCCTGGGATGGTCCCATTTCCCGAGTTGTGAGTTCATTCTTCCGACGTTGGTGTCTTCATGTGCTTCTAAGTCTGAATGTGGAAACAACATGGATGTTACTGCAAAGATGGGGTGGACTGTCATTGTCATCTGCAACCGTTTGAAGCTTTCTCTTTCAATGTGATTGTTGTCCGAGAGCTGTTACTGCACCAGTATATTACCTGAAAACCACTAGTTATACAGACTAGTGTTTAGCTAACATGTTAAATATCATTAACATTAGCTGCTACGTTTAGCAATCCAGCAGACTAGCATTGTGCTAACATAAAATATCAGTAACATTAGCTGCTACGTTTAGTAATCAAAAAGACTGGCATTGTGCCAAGATGTCAAATATCAGTAACATTAGCTGCTGAATTTACTGACCATAAAGACTAGCATTGTGCTAAAGAATAAAATGAGCAACATTAGCTGCTAACTTTAATAAGACTAATTGTTAATTATAGCCATAATGACGCCCAACATTAAGCCAACATGCAAAATAGCACTAACATTAGCTGCTAATTTTTGTCATAGAGACTAATGCAGTATTCACGTGCTCCTGGGATGGTCCCATTTCCCGAGTTGTGAGTTCATTCTTTTCATTCAACGTTGGTGTCTTCACGTACTTTTAAGTCTGAATGTGAAAACAACATGGATGTTACTGCAAAGATGGAGTGGACTGTCATTGTCATCTGCAACCGTTTGAAGCTTTCTCTTTCTAAGTGATTTTGGTCCCAGAGTTTTTACTGCACCAGTATATTACCTGAAAACCACTAGTTATAAAGACTAGTGTTTAGCTAAAATGTAAAATATCACAAACATTAGCTTCTAACTTTAGCGATCAAAGACTAGCATTGTACTAACATAAAATATCAGTAACATTAGCTGCTAACTTTAGCAATGATAAAGACTGGCATTGTGCCAAGATGTCAAATTTCAGTAACATTAGCAATTACCATTGGCAAGTAACTTCAGCGATCACGTAGACTAGCATTGTGCCAAAAAATAAAATATGAGTTTCATTAGCTACTACGTTTAGTAATCAAAAAGACTGACATTGTGCCAAGATGTCAAATATCAGTAACATTAGCTGCTGAATTTACTGACCATAAAGACTAGCATTGTGCTAACAAATAAAATGAGCCCCTGGGATGGTCCCATTTCCCGAGTTGTGAATTCATTCTTCTGACGTTGGTGTCTTCATGTGCTTCTAAGTCTGAATGTGGAAACAACATGTATGGTAATGCAAAGATATGGTGGACTGTCATTGTCATCTGCAACCGTTTGAAGCTCTCTCTTTCAACGTGATTGTTGTCCCAGAGCCGTTACTGCACCAGTATATTACCTGAAAACCACTAGTTATACAGACTA